GGGTTTCATCAGCATAATAGCAAAAGCCAAGCCCTATACTTATGAATAACTTGTCTCACAGGCAAGATATAAATTGTCAACAATGGGGGAGCTCAGAACAGATCCCAGAGGACTGCTGCAAGTGACATAAGCAGAAGACAAACATGTGCATGCTAAAACCTCTCATGGTAAAATAAACAGCCACCAGTGAAAAAAACCCCAAAATTATTTAGGGTCTCAATCAACATCTCAGCCCAGTTACGAAGTAGAACTGAGATAAAAATCAAAGTCTTGAATACAGCAAGGTAAACCACAGGACTCAGGTCAAGAAGCTTTCTTTGCTGTCCGTCACTGATAGATCATTAAAAACTTTGGCTCAAGAAAGTCTCTGTGATATCAGCTTCTCAAAAACCAGCTTCCAACTGAGATAATTGAAATTTCCAAGATTGCTTGCAAATTATGCAGTTCAGACTGTAAATTGGATCTCTTGCCCCAGCTGTCAGTTCACTGGGATTCCAAGTAGCAGGCCCAACTGAGAACATCCCACAGCCAATGGCTACAACTTCCAACTTTGAAAGTTTTTCTTTTATCTAAGAAAGATTCCAAAATAATAAGTAGGGCTTAGGTCTGCTACAATGCTTGATATCTTCTCAGCCCCATCTGCACTTGAATTTGCATTCTTCATAGATCCTCTCCAAAGCAGCAAGGTGATCTGGTCTAACAATAGTTCTGCTATAAGGAAACTACAGTAAATGGAGACTAGACTTCACACTGTTGTCACTAAAAGATGGGCCCTACACAGGCATTAAAGGAAAGCTGCAAGAAAGATCTGGAAACGTTAATATTTGTACATAGTGGGACTTAAACCACAAACACTTGACCCTAAAGTGTGCTGTTCCCATGAAAGGTTTAACAGGTCTCCTCATAAAAGAAGTGACAACTGGAAAATATACCCTTGGATATTTAAAGTGCAATAAATTTTCAGGCTTTGAGGAATTATCATTTTTGCTTTGGAAAGTATTATTGTAGCATCTCTTGTACTGCTAGGTTCAAGAAGATAACATTAAGTAACTGAAGGAAATCAAGTAACATGGACCTACAATCAGCAATAAGAAGCAGTTGACTCACAGATGTTCATCGTTTCCTTCAGCACAAGCTAACAGACTTGTGCAAAGCATTTGACAGTGTCCCACATGACATCCTTGTCTCTAAATTGGAGAGACATGGATTTGACAGATGGACCACTCAGTGGACAATTAATTGGCTGGATGGTCGCACTAAAAGGGCTGTGGTCAATGGCTTGATGTCCAAGGGGAAAGCAGTGACGAGTGGTGTTCCTCAGGGGTCGGTGTTGGTACCGGTGCTGTTTAACATCTCTGTTGGCGACATAGACGGTGGGATTGAGCGCACCTTCAGCAAGTTCAACAATGACACCAAGCTGTGTGGTGCGGTCGACAGGCTGGAGGGAAGGGATGTGCCATCCAGAGGGACCTGGACAGGCCGGAGAGCTGGGACCCGTGCAAACCTCATGAAGTTCAACAAGGCCAAGTGCAAGGTCCTGCACATTGGTTGAGGCAATCCCAAGCACAAGGCTGGGCAATGAGTGGATTGACAGCAGCCCTGCAGAGAAGGACTTGCAGGCGTTGGTTGATGAGAAACTCAACAAAACCCAGCAATGTGTGCTCACAGCCCAGAAAGCCAACTGTATCCCAGGCTGCATCAAGAGAAGTGTGGCCAGCAGGTCGAGGGAGGGGATTCTCCCCCTCTTCTCTGCTCTCATGAGACCCCACCTGCAGTGCTGTGTCCAGCTCTGGGTCCCCCAGTGTAAGAAGGACGTGGACCTGTTGAAGCAGGTCCAGAGGAGAGACACAAAGACGATCAGAGGGCTGGAGTACATATCCTGTGAAGACAGGCTGAGATAGTTAGGGTTGTTCAGCCCTGAGAAGAGAAGGCTCCAGGGACACTTTACAGTGGCCTTCCAGTGCCTATAGGGGGTCTACAAGAAAGCTGGAGAGGGATTTTTTACAAGGACATGTAGTAGTAGGACAAAGGTTAATGGCTCTAAACTGAAAGAGGGTCGATTTCCATTAGATAAGGAAGAAATTATTTACTATGAGGGTGGTGAGACACTGGAACAGGCTGCCCAGAGCAATGGTGGCTGCCTCCTCCCTGGAAGCGTTCAAGGCCAGGTTGGACGGGGATCTGAGAAACCTGATCTAGTGGAAAGTGTCCTTGCCCATGGCAGAGGGATTGGAACTGGATGATCTTTAAGGTCCATTCCAACCCAAAACATTCTTTTATTCTATGATGATTCTACACTTTTCACACTGGCTGTTACCTTACAGACATGCTGCCAATCCAGAAACCTCTAAAGGAAGAAAAAAAGGTTTGTGATTATCAATCAGAGAAGAAAGTATTTGTGAATATTGCAGTGACTACACTTTTCTAGTAGCATCCTAGGCTCTCTTTTCGATGGTTTCATAACTGTCCCTTCAGAATACTTTTCCTACCCAAATTAGAGCTGCTGGAACTAATCTATGAAGAAAGCCACTACACTACTCCCTTCAGGCATTTGGACTCTGACATTAATGGAGCAAGAGGCAAGGGACACAAGTTGAAACAAGGGAAACAGATCCAAAGAGATAACATAGAAACTGGAAGAGGGTGCCCAAATAGGCTGCACAATCTCCACGCTTGGAGATGCAAGGATGGAGAACTTGATCCAAAACTCAAGTGGATGGACCCCTGAGCACCCTGCTCTATATTGACTTGCTTCAAGCAGAGAGTTAGGCTAGATGCCTTCTGCACATCCCTTCCAACCTACCTGACTCAGTGAGTCTATGACATAGATATATATATAGCAGCTGAAGAGACTAAAGCGACAAAACAACTTTTTGGATTTAATTCTTCATGGCTTCTGACTACTAAAAAGTGCACAGCAGTAGCAGTGGAGCAGAGCTACCAAAAGAACCTGATCTGTACAGTGTGCTGTCATAAAATTTGTGGATGACACCAAACTGGAAGGGACCAGCTGATATGTTGTAGGGCAGGTCTGCCATTCAGAAGGGCCTAGAGGAATGACTCATCAGGAGCTTTATGAATTTCAGCAAGACAAATGCAAACTCTTGCTCCTGGGAAGGAGTGTGCACTCACACCTTGCAGCATTACAGGGTAGGGACTGACCAGCTAGGGAGCGTGTCTGCTGGAAAGGACCCAGAGGTCTTAGCAGATAGAAAGCTGAACATGAGCCAGTGGTGTAATCTGGCAGCAAAGATGGCCAACAGTATTTTAAGCTGTTTAACAGGAGCATAGCCAGACAATTAAAGGAAGTGATTACATGCCTTTACTTAGCATTTGTTCCATTTTGGCCCCTGAATACAAGAAAGATATTGATAAATTGGAATGAGTTCAGTGGAGGGCCACCAAGGTAATCAGGGGGTTGGAGAAGTTGGCCTACAAGGAGAAGTTGTGGGACTGGGGCTTGTTCATCTTTGAGAAGAGATGGCTTTGGAGGGACTTGATTGTAGTCCCCCACTACCTACCCACAGGCTAACAAGAAGGCAGGTCCAGATTCCTCACAGTGGTATGTGGTGAGAGGGGACAAGAGAAAACAGGTTCAAGAAAAGAGAGTTTCAGACTGAACATAACAAAAAACCTTTTTCACAATGAGGACAGTCAAGCAGTGGAGCAGACTGCCCTGAGAGGTTATACAATTTCCCACTCTGGAGGTTTTCATGGTGCAGCTGGATAAAGCCTTGTGCAACCTCATCTGACCTCTTAACTGACCCTGCTTTGAGCAGGAAGCTGGACTGGATGGCTTCCTGAGAGCCCTTCCAACCTGAATTATCTTGTGATCCTTTAAAGCCAATGAGCCTGTAGAAGAAAGATTGCCACCACCTTGCAGGAGCTCAAGAGGTGGAATGCACTGTATTTCATATATATCAGAACAAATCCATGCTTGAACAATTTTTTTTTTTTTTTTTCAGGAAAAAGGTGGTAAAGACTTTTGAGCATTACCAAATTCATCTTCAAGATATATCATGTGTATAAATACTGCATACAGAATTAGTAGTGAGGCTTACTGGTATCCTGTTCAGTAGCAAATAAGTGTGCCTATTCATAGACAACATCATATTCAAAAATCAGCCTCATCTTGCTATAAATACTGATACTACTACTTTTAGAAACAACAAATTAGAAACAACAAACACACCCACTTTTCAAAACAACAAATTCAAGGCTTTTTTTTTTTTCCCAAGGGTCTGAACTCCACTAACACACAACTTGGGGAAATTTTCAGATGGTTATAAATAGCAAAGTTCTTAGTTCAGAGGCTGAAATCAAGTAAAGCCTGACATTATCACTAGTATGTATGATAAAAAATTGATGCTAAAACTTGAAACTTTGACACAGACAAGAATTACAGGTGAAAGAATGGCAGAACTTGTCTCCTTGCTTTATCCTAGCCTCATAAGAAAAACAATAGTAAAAATACCTATGTGCATGAGAAGTAACACCAACCATCAACAGCTAATTCACTTTCAAACCATCCACAAAAACTGCTTGTGAACATAACATTTAATTTCAAAAGAAAACAACCCCAGTCCCTCTTGATGTAAACTACTGTAAGATTGTAAAGTAAAAATTAATTTGTAATATATTGGGGGAGGATAGGAGAAGAAAGAAAACTGAATGAAATAAAGCTGCCTTTTAAGAGCTAGAATTTCACATTACTATCACAACTAGAGCCTTGCAAAAGCTCTGGAGGGTACACAAACATTTAACACAAGAAACACGGGCACTTACGATTAAGCTAAAGAAAAATGAATGCTGAATGAATGTATTGCTTGTGCAAAATGATTTTCAGCTTCTCAGCTATTTAAATACATTAACAATAATTCAGGTATCATAATACTATTAACATTAGAAATGAGATGTGTATGTTCATTGTAAGTGTAAAGTAAGGTTCTCAAAGTGTACTGAAATCATAATCAGAACTGATAAATGGCTTCAATTCCCACCTGATATTCATATTCTGTGTAAGGCAGCAACTTGTCATCTTTGAAGGAGGTTGAAGAACCATTGTAAACAAGTGCAAGGTCTAAATTTATGTGGACTTGAGTTGTTCGCCTTCTGTAAAGTTCATAGTATAAAATCTTCCCATTTGGCTGCTGTGGGCCAGTCCACAGGATGGAAGAAGTCAACTGGAAGCCCCCAGCTGTTGTTTGTATTTCAATGAGAGGGGCAGGCTGCGCTGTCGGGGGTGCCTCCAGCGTCTGCACTGATGCCCACTCACTGGAGGCACAGCCCAGCTCGGTGCAGGCTTGGAGCTGTACTTCATACCTTTGGGAACACAAATCAGGAATGAAGTGATTAAAACACTGCAGATACAAATATGGACCGTGTATGAGATCTGGGGGAACTTCTTAACTTCTCTTGGTCTTTAGTATTTTTAATTGGAAAACATTCTGTATGAACATACAGATTATAGGATGTGCCTTGTGCAGCAAAGAATGCTGTCCTCTGGGTTTTCATTTGGTACTTTTTGTCAGAGCAGAGTTAACATCTGCAGGAGTCATGTGATCAAAATCGTTATGATTTTGATGATATGAATCAAAATGATTCACTGGAGATTATTCGGATATCATTTGAGAGCTGCAGAGCTTCACTCTATTACTCCTCTCTCTTTGGATTTATATTAGTTATATGTAAATAGTAGACAGATTTATCAACCATGTAACACACACAAATTATGCCTACACAAATATATAAGGAAAGGTCAAGAATTGGTGGGGAAGTTATTACTTCAGTATCAAGTGTGCTCCTTCTGTAGCAGAGTCTGGTACCCTTTCTCAAGTTTTAGCTTTCATTTAAACACAAGTCTCTTTCAACTCAAGGGTGCGAACACATTCCTGGTGTGACTCCATTAATCTTAACTCAGCTACACTGTGAATGGGCTAGCTAATGGGTCTTTGGTATCCCCATCCTGAGCTTTGTTAACTAAAGCCCTATTTATTCTTGAATGCAGACATCTTAAGAAAGATACACAAGTTTGTAGGTTTTGGAGTCTACTGCAGACTGCTGAATGACCCCTTGTATTATACAACATAAGTCAACTCTGTGCACTTCAACAAGATAATCTATAGCTTGTGTTACCATAAATTTTAAAAAGTCCTGGTTTTATCATCTGCTTTTTAGGAAACAAAGCTCCATGGGTATGACTATAAGTTTAAAGAAGACAGTTGAACTGTCTGCCAACCCAGTGAACCATCTTGCAGCATTTATTCAACAAACGAGGTCTGACTTACCTACTGTAGGGTTGTAGCTCTGCCACTATGTATGATCGTCTCAGAAAGGAAACATGAGATGCATCAAAGTCAACCGTTTTCTTTCCTGTTTCAGCAGGCTTGTGGATCGAGATTGTATAATTTTTAATGTCACCATTTACTTTGATAGGAGGATCCCAGGCCACCAAAATCTCTTTTGAGGACCATGCCTGCAACCTAGGAGGCAACATCCCAGATGGAGCAGAGGGGTTGGTTTTTATCTGAGCTGATGAGCTGGTCACACTCCCTTGACTGTTATTTGCAGTTACAGTGTAGCTGTATTCCATGCCTGGTGTTAGGGTGAAATCAAGATACCGAGTTTCCAGACCTGAGTAAACAAGTACACCATCCCTCCTTAGCTCGTAGCTTGTGATTTTACCATTGGGGTTGGCTGGAAGTTTCCATGTGATTTCAATTGACTCTGAGCCCATGACAAGCAGCCTGGGAGCTTCCATATTTAATGGTGGAGCCTCCATGGTCATGACTGACTGGGATATGCTAGACGTGCAGCCCCCAGCAGTACAGGCAACCAATGCAAAATCATACTGCGTGTAAGGCTGTAGATTAGAAACCAACATTTGCAAACTTTTGCCAGGATAATACTCTTCATTGTTTAATTTCAATATATACCTGGTGATATCTCCATTTTGTATCTGGGGAGGTGCCCAAGATGCATTAATCTGAGTGGCACTGACAGCCTGCAGAGATGGTGGGTCCACTATGGCAGGAGCTGCTTCCAGCGTCTGTATTGCAGCTGGTTCACTAGTAGAGCAGCCTCCCATCGTACAAGCAACTATCGCATAACTGTACATTGAATAGGGCAGTAAGTCTTCATCTGTGTAGTTGAAAGTAGCAGCATCGAAGCTGAAAGGATAGAGAACATCATTCTTTAGCAGCCTGTATGACTGAAGAATACCATTGGGCTGTGACGGAGAGGCCCACGAGATGAGCACTTTACGGGGGTTAACTGATGCCAAGGATAACCTGGGGGCAGCAAGACCTTTTGGGGCAGTTTGACTAGTCTTTGCCACTGTCCAGGAGCTGTCAGCATAGCCTGCTGCATTCCAGGTGCGTATTTTATATTCATACCTTGTCCATGGCTGTAAACCTTTATCATTATATATGAATGTATTACTTTCAGTGTTATATTCTGTGAAAACAATTTTCTCATCTTCTGTTGTTGCTCTGTACCCTGCAGCATTTTCTTTTGTGCATCTGTGAATAACTTCATAGCGAATTATTTTTCCATTTGGATTAATTGGCTGCAACCAGCTCAGTTCAACGTTGGTAGCATTCACTGACTGGATTACAGGTGCCATCTGAGACACGGGGGGTGCTTCATCTGTTCTTATCGGCTGGGGTGGAGAATGAGTGCAGCCTGCTGCATTGCAAGCCTCCAGTACGAGGGTATAGAGAGTATAAGGCTCAAGGCGCCTGAAGAGGAACTGGCGAGATAAACCACTGTACTCCAGGTTGTCATCGCTGAAAATATTGTAGGTCTGGTGAATAAAGAAAGAAGGGTAAAGAAAAAAAAAAAGGTAGGGAAGGAAGAAAGGACAGAAGCCAAAATAAAAGGGAAAAGAAAAAAAACCCCAAATTTTGTCAATAACCAGTAGATGAGACACCTTAATCTTTGCAAAAGGGTAAGGACTATTAACAAATGATTCAGAAACTTACTTCCCTACAAGTAACAATCAGCACACAAACAGATCATTAATACAAAGGGAATGTTTTGATCCCATTTTCATGATTTTTTTTTTTTATTTTGGATGCAGTAATAAATCACTTAGTGACAGTTTTCATTATATTTGTTTGTTATCAAGTTTCTTTGTAAGGCTCTCACAGGCTATCACAAAGCTTCTTGCAGACTAACTAAAGAAAATTACTTAAGAAAAAACACACCAAATAAACCACTCTAGTTGCAAACCTTGAAAGTAAAGGTTTACACTCAGTTTAAACCATCGATCTAGAAGAGGTCCCAAATCTCAGAACAACATTCTGTCAAGCTCAGATTTTCTAGAAACACATTTTGGTGATGACTAATGTACGCCAAGTAAGATTATGAGCTTTCATGTATAGCCTTCTATACATTAAATGAGCAATTTGGTTCACTGTAAATGAACATTTACAGTCAAGGGGTAGCACAGGAATGTTAACACTCATTTTAATATAACCACAACAAGAGAGCACTTACAGAGTGCCTTGTGCTCACATAGGACTTCTGTCTTATTTAAAGTCTAATGCATTTGATTGAGTCCTTTTCAGCAAAAATACTTTAATTTGACATTCAGCATTTCCCTTCTCTTTTTCGATCAAGTGAAGTGTCGAGATGAAGATTACCTTAATCACACCATTGGGTTGGGAGGGCTCTGACCATTTCAGCAGCAGAGCCCTCCCATTTTCTTTCTTTTCCACAGTGAAGTTGCTCAGGCCACTGGGTGAAGCTTCCAACGTGCGCACAGATGTCCAGGGGCTTGAAACCTGCCCAGCATTGTTTACAGCTATGACATGAATATGATATGTTGTGAAAGGTTTCAGTCCAAATAAATGAGCCTGATGCTTTGTTCCCTGAAGCAAGAATACAGAGGTTTGAGTTAGTTAAAAAAGTAATCAGCATTTGTGGTTTATGTTACTTGGAAAATAAGGGTTCAGCTCTGGGTCAATTCTGATTGCTTTGCAGAATACCCCATTTGGTTACCAGGATTTTTTGGTGGGTTTCCACAGCTGAACCTCAAAAAGAAACTCAGACTTTTTAAAAAAAATCTATCATTATGGGAGAGCCTTCAGAGCTGTCTCCTGGGGAGTCCTGTACAGTCCAAATCTCAGCTAGAAAATTACCTACAGTTTGTTCAACATGTGTCTGAGCTTTGCTCAGTGAGGATGAGAGAGTCTGGTACCCTGAAGGATTCAAGCACATGTGAAAACATGTATATGAGTGATGCCTGCCTCTTCAGAATTCTTCCACATCTTGTGTGTGGCTGCAACATTTGATAGGCATATCATCCTGTTCTAGCTACTTAAAGCATTGTAATCTAGATAGATGACAGTGTTTCCAAGAACATGGTTTCATTTCCTTCTTGAAAACAAACCCTTAAAAGTAAAGGGGACAGGGGGAGAAGAGAGAGAGAGAGAGGGAGGGAGGGGATAAACTGGTTTTTACATTCCTACTTTGTAAAGATGTTGCTTGAGATGAATTCACAAGGTAAGACCATTGTGGGGCAACCTGTTGCTTTACAAGACCTTTCCCTGTTTCTCCAGGTTGGAGGAAGGAGCCATACAGCTGATGGGGACACAGGCAAGCTAGATCCTCCCTGGTGCCAGACCCTTGCCTTGCACCAGCGGAGAGAGGCTAGGAGGAGCACAGCTGTTTGTAAATCCCAACCAGGCTCTGCCAGGGCTGGAAGGGCTGGGGCTGATGTTCCACCACGCCAGACCACAGCCTAGCATAAGGGGCATGAGGGTGGATGCAGACCGAGGGACATCAGCCATGGACAGAAGGGGCCACTGGCATTGCAACTCATGGCTTTATCCAGTTTACCCCAAGCAGCATCTGACACAGACCTGAATTGGCTCAGATAAGAGGCAAAGTAACCCTCAGCACAAATTCAGATCTAGGCAGGAAAGCGATACAGCCTAACAGTATTATTTTGAACAGCCACAAAAGATACAGTGGCTAACAAAGAACAGGAGTAACATGTTTCAGTAGGAGACTGTTCAGATCTGTCTCTGAAGACCTAAGAAGAAAGGAGTTCAGCTGATCACCATATATTTAATCTCATTTTTAGTTGTGCTATTGCATTTATTACATAGATCTCAAGAAGGGGAGTGCAGGAATTCAGTTTCCTTCGTGTGGCAGAAACAGCTGAAGCCAATTTCCTTGTCACAGTAAGTCATATTAAGTTGTTAAATGATAACATTTCCAATTGTTTAATATTTAAACATTTGTTAAGCTATCAGACTCAGAAACAAATTTTAAAGAAATATTAATTTCTTTTTTTAAATATTAAAAGTTAGATCATAAATATTTAAATAGTTATTTCCTCACAACAATGAGTTAGTCTTTTAGATAAATATAGCACAGCATTTGAATGACCATTATGAATATTAAATCTGAAGATGCCACAAGTACAGATTATAAACATACTTTTCTGATAAATGATTCCTTTTCTGTTAAACAGGGCAAACACTAGCAAGATTAATAATGCAAAAAAGTATAATTCTTTGTTAGGAATTCCCAGTCATCACTGCCAAAAAAGCATAAGCTCAAATGCAAATAGCAATCACCTCGAACAGATTATATATAAAAAAGCTCTGGCTGCTGTGGGACATTTAGAGATATCTTTTGTCATAAGAAACATGGAAAGCATGTGGGCTATAAAGCAAAAACATATGTATATTGTCAATAGCAGCACCTGTTCAATTACAGTTTATTTCAGTACAGAGAATTTAGTTCAGCCCCTAGATGGCAATACTATCAAACACTTTTTGTAACATGAGTACTTAATGATTAACAACGTGCGTTCAGTCATCCAACATACTCAAGGCAGCCATTAAAAAAATAACAAAACTGATTTCATTATAGATTCTTTTAATAAACATTTATGGCTTAGATCCTTGAAAGTGGAAGCGTTCAAACTGCCATAGCCAAAAATACTATACAGCCGAATGCAAAATTATGAACTGCAGGTTAAAGAACAGAGCTCAAACTGAAGTTCATGCTTAGCATAAAAATCTGGCATCAGAAATTATGTTGGCACAAAACATGATTAAAATTAGCTTTACAATTGGATGTAGTCTGTATTAATAGTTTTTATGAGGACAGTTATCTATTAGGTTTTCAAAACAGAACTTTTAAAAGCCTAAAATTTACATTCCATGATTCGGGGGTGGGGATGGGAGGAAAGGAGCACACAACGTTAAATTACTGCCCCTGAACTGCTACACAGAGGCTCTTGGAAGGCACAAACACATGATTATAAACATCGTACAAAAAGCAATGGCTCTGTTTTCTAATCAGCTGCATCATCAGGCTTTCATGACATCAATGCTACAAAGCACATGATTTCTTTTTTTAAAGAGAAAACCAACATATTTTTCATAACCCTACCATTTTCCCACTAAACCCCAAGTTTTAATTATTTACAATCCTCACCACACTTTGAAATGAAACAAGGATGGAGGGGTTTCCTTGCCTGCAGTTCATCATGTTCTCTGGAGACTGCTAAACCATTCCTTCCAGGGATGACTTTTATCCCTGGCTCCTACAGATACTTCTTGAAGAGCAAATGGTTTACATGTATTTTTGTTTTGTTTGGTTTTGAAGTAAGCTCAGGGGATGTACTCCCAGAATACGGAGCCACGTTTTCTCTCCCTGCACTGCTGCCATTGCCATTTGTGAATTTGCTCAGCTCAAAGGCCGATGCTGAAAAGAGGATGGATGGCAGTCTCAGTGATTCATCTTAAGAATTACTTTACGTCCTCCCATGACATTTTCAGCCTAGAAATACCGTCCTGCTGGAATGGTCAAATATAAATAGCAAAATACATCTTGCAAAGGATAGCACTATAACCTCTGGCTTCAGTGGACAACAACACAGACTTAAACAGGTGCAGGATCAAAATCATTGCCTGGAATATTCTCCCAGCCTTTGTCTGCAAAGCTACGAACTCATCCCATGTTTACACACAGCTAACAGTCCAGATTTCATTCACTGTTAAAAGCAAACCAAGAAAATAAAATTTTAATGCAAACATTAAGACGTTCGTAGACTGAATTACCGTGAAATCCAATGAACTACAAGCCCATGCCCTCCTGTCTCTGTCTCCTACTGGGAAGCATTCTCACTCGTTTGGTCATTAAATTAAGAATAATCCAGCAAACAGTTAAGTGTGTGCACTCTCCCATTCCTCCTATAAGTCCTGTCCTTTCAATGCAAACACTACAGAAACGGGACACCTGAGGCAAGCTGTGATGACCCACCATGATCTTGTCCCCATGCTTCAGCCCAGAGCCCAGCCCTTGACAAGGGCCTTGCTTTTGGCAGCCTCGATGCCCGTTGCCTTCCCTTGCACAGCCCTGGCGGCAGCACCACTGCTCCAGGCAGGACTGCACCTTTGGTTTTGCTGTGTAAAATGCTTCACACGCTGCCAGTAGCAGCACAAGCTGTTAACAGCAACAAATACACTCCTTGGCTAATTCCACCCTTCTCACTGTAAATTAGGATAAAAGTTATTTAAAATAAAACCTTGTTTTAACACATTTTTCAAAACATAAAACGAGAGAACATGAATCATGAATAATGTATACATCAAGATTTGCTTCAGATTGCCTTTTTTGTTTGTTTATTTTTTAATTCATGAGCACAGAAGTCACTTAAAGTCTGGAAACAAATTAGCATAAACTTTCATGCCATTCAAAGGCAGCAGCATCCATAATGCAAGGTGTCTGCCTTCCTTGCTACCTCTACCTCTCAGTCCTCCTCCTGGGCAAGGCTGCACAGCCTTCAAGGGTCTGATGATTTTACACTGCCTACTGTGATTGCTTTTGACTACTTGAAGTGCCCCTAAGGTGGCAACAGGGTCAAGAGGTCTTTGTAGGTTGAAAATGATCAAAAATTAGCATTGATCTGTAGCTGTCAATAATACTTTGCACGGGTGGACTCCCTGCACAAATGTTTAAACTGCATACAACTACACAACCTAGTCATCTTTGAATCTATCGATCTGATGAAGCAGCACTTTCCAGTGGCGTTACACTGGGCTTTTCCTCTTTTTTTCAAGGCAGGCGATCTTACCCAGTTGCCCAGGTCTCAGGGTACAAGTTCAAAACATGACAGATACATCAGAAGATCTCTGAACCACTGAGCTACCCAACAGGCAACTCAAGCATCTGTCCCTTCTTTAGGGGTAATCATCAAAACTCAGCAAGTCATCGCCTGTTATGTTAAGGTTAGGCTCTGGTTTCTTCTCTCTCCCTATTTTTTCGTATAGTAATCCCTATTTGGCAGGTATTTTCAATATATGATTAAAAACCTAGCTCATTCTTGTTCTGTGAGACTCTAACTAAAGTCAGTGGCATCAGACACTACCACACTGCTAATGGTAGTAGTGGTACAGGGGTCCAAAACTGTTCTTTCATAACCCACAGACATAAATGAGGAGGAGGTAATTCACTATGATATTCTCTTATGTACAGAGGCAGAGATGTTGAGCTCTTCCTGGACAAGGAAGGAGAAAGATGTGGTCTCCTGGCAGTCAGAATATTAATCTGACCATACTCCAAAACCAGTTTTCAAATTCTCCAGTAAAGAAGTCACATAGATTCCTCCACAAGTGACAGAAGTGACAGAAGGGAATGCTTGGGGTTTTACTAAGATACTCAGTTTATCCTCAGCTTTATGTTATCCTCACCTTTGTTTTATCTTCTTATCCAGTTCCGCATCTAATCCAGATTCTTTGTCTTTTTCTGCAAAGCACTGGGAGTGCTTCCACCTTGACTCTGATGTTCATTATTATTTCCCAGCCTACTTCTTAGCTCCAGCCTTCACTCTAGAAATTGCACTGAGTTC